GCTTGTTTCCCAAGGGAAGCAGGAAATGACTCTATCTTGTCCCTACTAGAACAGGAGTTCATGAGGCAGGGATCTCACTCTGCTTTGATCAGTGTCACATGGCCAGCAGTGAGTGTAGTTTCCAGCATGTGGTAGAGACAATGTATTGTTGAAACCGAAGACTGCACCACATCTTCTTTTCCGTGACTCCTCTACCTGCCACCTTCACTTCTAGTGTCCCTTAGCTGAGGACAGCTGTGTTCAATCATCTATTTCACAACAGCACAGCACAGCACAAGGCAGACTGACCTCAGGGAATGCTCAGCCTTATGCACAGTTCAGTGGATGCTGCAAGGCTATCATTTGTGGTCCTTGATTGTGGTATGGGAGCTCGGAAGTTAAAGTTTGCTGCTGGCTGTCTACTAGACTGTCTGGCTACTGAGGCAAGGAAGTTTCAGTTCTACAAGCATTCTAAATAAGCCCTTACCTCATGATCTACCTGCAAATACACTTTCACAGCATTATCCCATGTTCTTCTGTGGTAGGCCCCAGACCTACAAACTACAAATCACAAGAATAAGCCATAATGAAGCCTTCATGCCTCTTTCCTTACATCCTCCCTCGCCTCTTCTCCTGTGTTCTTCCTTCCATTCTTCCCCTCCCTCATTCTCCCTCTCCTCTCTTTTCACACAGGTTCTCACTATATAGCCCAGGTTGGCTTTACACTTTGCTCCAGCCTTTACCTCCTGCATGCTGGGATTACAGGGGTATGTATATCAGCAGGACCAACAGAGTTTTCTATTTCTTAATGAACCACATTTTAAAATGGTTGACTGAAAAGACAGAAAACATGTCACAGTGAAGCTCTTAGAATGGTCAACACCCTCAGTGAGGCGGCCTACAAACTGCTAATAAAACAAGCTTATACTTCTCTTGATAACTCTGATTATGCCCTAGTTTGAAGTATTCTGCCATATTTAACTAACAAATTAATCATTGTCAATGGCTGATAAGGTCTCAAGTTCATTAAAATTTCACACGTCCCATCTATTTTCCAACCAGAAGGTACCGCTTTCTCTAATCAGTGTGACAGGAACTGGAGTTAAAAGTTATCTTTTCATCCAGAACAGCAAACAAAACTCCTTCATTGATTAAACTGTTAATGGTGCTCCCCTGCTGGCAATATCGGTTCCTTCTGTTTACTAACATATAGATTATGAAGGACATTATCTTGAAAGTCAATGTTTAAGCATCTGGACCACCGGGAAAGACAGCAGAATAAATATATGTTTGTGTAAGTGTTCTATCCCCCCTGGCCAGCACACATGTCTAAAAACTGAGCAAAAAAATGATCTATGATGAAATTAATAAGAGCCACAAGCCCACAGCATGGTCTCCGGGAGTGTGCCTGACAGAGTAAGCAAAAGATACACAAATACATTCTGGAAAAAAAAATGATTTCAGAAACCCTGAAAATTTGAGACCAAATGGCTTAGTCCTCAAAGACATAAGGCATCAAAGAGGACTAACATAATGAGCTAAGAGATGTAAATTAAAAAAAAAATACGAATATGACAGAAGTGAAAGCAAGCCATGAGGCCTAGCAAAACCAACCAACCAACCAACCAACCAACCAACCAACAAACAGTAGAGAAAACAAGTTGGGGAAATGGAGGATAAGACCCAAGGGGTGGAAAATCACACACGAAGGAAGACAAGGACATGAAAGCCATACAAAAGACAAATGTGAAAGATGGGTAACCCAAAGCTGAGAGAGAACCACGTTTCTGAAGAACACAACAGTACAAAATGATACAGAGTGCCATAAGGCCCAATATGTGACTAGTGCTCACTGTGTATCAGGAAAAGCCAACAGACAACTACCAACCTTGAGCTCTACTGAAATGAAGTTACGAAGTATCAAGGATAAACATGCAACCATGCCAAGCAAGCACGTTGTCTACAAAACTGAAAGAAAAACCCATCTGTACTCAAGGGCTTCAGAGCACCAGCAGATATAAACAATAAAGTCTCTAAAGAATGTAGTGGAGGCCGGGCGGCGGTGGCGCACACCTTTGATCCCAGCACTCGGGAGGCAGAGGCAGGTGGATCTCTCTGAGTTCAAGGCCAGCCTGGTCCACAAAGGAGTTCCAGGACAGTTAGGGCCGTTACACAGAGAAACTGTCTGGGCGGGGGTGGGGGGTGGATAATGTAGGGGAAAGAATGTGATCCGAGGTTCTGATAGGCAGCCGAGCTATTATTGTAAGTAATGGCAATAGAAAGAATGTGCAAGAGCATCTAATTGAGTCTGTAATTGAGTCTACCAAAACACAAAACCATCAACTTCCAAATGTAGAAGCTTTGTACAAAAAGGCTGGCAGCAAGCACTGATCTCATTCGAATATAAACTCTAGTCATGACCTACACTAGTCTGAAGTTGTCTGTTTTACAAGGCAAAAGCTGCCGAATCCACTTGTCTCCTCTAACTGTGCCAGAATGGAAACACACCAAAGGAAACTTATCCTGAGTGTAACTGCCTCGCATTACAGAAAATTGCTGATTTACCGACCATCCTCGAGGATTAATATGCCCAAGAATTCCTCCAAAGAGACCACTCTAACCACTTGACATATTGTTCAGAGCACTGGCCTAGGAACAGGAAGGCCCAAGCACTTGCCATGTCTCCTTGGCAAGTCACTGAACTGCTTTGGAATTCAGATGAAAAAGAAAAGCTACTTTGCATAGCCTGCCTCCTGGCACTGTAAGGATCACATGGGGTGCTGCTGATCCTAAGTTCTTTGGAATCTCTAAGAGGGGCTATAAAATCATATCACTACATAGAAAGAAGCCCTTGGATTATGAATTCAAAACCAGATATTCAGAGACAGAAAGAATCAGTTGGCTCTTGTGATCCATTTCTAATTCGGTCACTTCTCCACATTTTAAAGTCATCTCTTAGTACTATAAAAAGAAATTCAGTATACTGCCACAGCTCTTGACTTGAATCACTACCAACTTGAAGTTAGGGATATCTGAAGAACTTAGAAAGATGTTTCCACACCCACCATTGCAGATTTCTATCAGTTTTCATCCTTTGACTCAATAAATACCTATTAAGTACCTACCGTGTGCCAGGTACTGTTTCAAATAGTATACATGGCTCCCAAATACTTAAAATAAGAGTGCAAATTGGAGGGCATTACAGAGAAATGAGGAAGAATTCCGCTGAAAACAGGTCAATATTAATTTGTAATATATCTAGAAGGTCACAGAGCTAGAGAGACATGCTTAAGCTCAGAGGATCATGCACCGTCAGCAGAAAAGGCTCCATCAATGCTCCAGTCGAGGGGAGAATAAACTTTGAGAATGCAGGATGTTCCTGAAAGTCTCCTTATGGCTGCTTTAGGGCTGAGGTTAAATTATTGGTGACAGGAAGGCAGGAACAGCAGGAATGCACTGGGCTTAGACGGACATGAGTTAAGTTAACATGCCCAAGAGTGTTAGTGAAGGACTGTGGGTTCAATCCTTCAGTCATTTAAACAAAAACTGGCTTTTCAAAAAGACTTTAAAAGAACATGACAAGGTTTTTCTATGCCATAACCAACTCTTACATGGTTTTTGTTGTGGGAGTGTGACAATCAATGGGCAGCCCTCAAACAATAGAAACAGTGCTGAAGCAAGGTGAGAGATGCCACAGCATGACTCTGTTGCCGCCTTTCTCCCACAGTCAAACTTGCAAGTGTAAAGGAAGATGACTGGAACTGAGACTCAGCGAGACATGGACATACTCTCTGGTGTTTCGAAGGCAGCCGGGGTCTTTAAATGTAAAGGATCATCATTCTCACAGCTTTTCCTCACAAGAAAACAGTCATAGGGCTTAGTCATCAAGATACTGACTTAGCCCTGTGAGCAATGAGTCTCTCTCATCAGGTTCTTGAAGTTTATCAACATTTCTTTTGTTTGACTATGTCAGCTCTGTAATGAGGGGTTTATAATGACAAAAAAGAGCTACCAGGAACTCAGGTAGTACAAGGAACTGAAAGAAAATCAGATGCTGTGTGACCCAAAGAAAACAAAGTTACAACTGAGCCAACTTCAGCAAAACTGTGAGGCCAAAGCCTTTCACTGTGGTGGCAGTGGGGAACGATGTAGCAGGAGCAATACAAGTTAAAACTTTGTTTGAGAGGAAATCTTGTTACATAGCCCAGGCTATGATCATGATCCTCAACATTTGGAGTACTGAGATTTCAGGTGTGGACCACCATGCCTGGCTATAAACTAAAACTTCTAAATCTGGATTCCATACTGAAAAACTGGGCAGAAACATTTATACATACAGTAAATGAAAGCAGTAATCAAGAGGAGCTGACATGCACATGAAAAATCATAATGAACAGAGAAACGCATACCAGGGACCTGAATAAGCTAGATACTGGTTTGACTCCAGATTCTCAGCCTCTATTATTAAGGATAAATATCACATCATTTCTCTTTCCTTACCACAGGTCCTCTGCTAATTCCTACTTCTAACTTTCAGCAAAAGGGATTATAAAAATCAGATTGATGACCAGGCAGTGGTAGCACACACCTTTAATCTCAGCACTTGGGAGGCAGAGACAGGCATATCTGTGTGAGTTTGAGGTCAGCCTGGTCTACAAGTGAGTTCCAGGACAGCCAGGGCTGTTACACAAAGAAACTGTGTCTCAAAAAACAAAAATCAGATTGAGTGGATAGTTCTAAAACTGGCAAAAAGTGATGACAATGAAAACTATCAAGATCTCTAATAGTTTTCAAACTCAACTAAAACGTTTGCCTCTGACAATCTGTGTTACAGTGCGTCAAGGGCATCCCACAGGAACTTCTAGCTCCTAAGAAGACTACAAGAGGAATTGCATATGGCAAACAAACAGTAATGGTTAGAGAAGCTTTCACAGAGACTCTTTACAAGTCTGATGTTGACCAGAAGGTAGTTTTTCACTTAAAATCTTTCAAACCAAGGTGTTAAGTGAGAAATTCCAAGACAACTTTTAGAGTGCTTTAATCAATGAACAGAAGTATGCAAATGAACTTTAAAGTAAAAATAATACAGATGAATAGGTTCTAACGCGAAAGTACCACACCTCACAGTGAGAATACAGTCAGATGGAAGTAGGCAAAGTCTAAATCAGAGAGTGAAGGGGGAATGTATATACAGGACAGGAAGAACCCTGGGACTGAATTTTCAAGGTGTACTCCACTGATGCCTTCCACTCCCAGACTCCCCAGGCCCTAGCTGGAGGTTACAAACTGCAACAGGAGGATTGCTGTATCTGGAATGAGGAAGGAGCTCAAAATTGTGGGAAGACTTCAGACACTAAACTCCATGACAAGATACAGAGTGGAGGGTACAAGAGCGCTAAGGAGGCTCTGTGCTCTTTTGTGATGGGTGTAAATGATGCCACAGAAAGTCACCATGAAAAATTGCTTAGGTTACAACTTTAGCAGAAGATACGAGTAGATTACAGGAAGGACTCCATGGAAACACTGAGCCAATACAAAGGAAGCAACAAATTCAAGCACTGGGAATAACAATAGTGCCACGGTTAAGAGTTGGTAGAATAAGGGTCTCTGGTTAACTTGCAGAAGATAATCTTTCTTCAGAGACGACCACAGCACTCGGCTTTCTAGAAAGTTCTATTAGTCTTCATCTTGTCCCTATGAAGAAAAGAATCCATAGAGAGGTCATGAGTATAACCTCCTCTATTTTAACCAAAACTTACTCAGAACATTTATAGTGATAGTTCCAAAACCTCTGCCTTAACTCAGAATTACTTTCTGTAGTTACTACAGAGAAAGTGGCATTTCATTACTTATATTGAAAGGACCAAGCAGATGCTATAATAGGCTGCTCAGTCTTCTCTCAGAGATCAGGTCTCAATTTCAGTTTCCTGAGACTTGAGCAAGCAGTTTCTGGGAGGGCAGTGAACAAAAGACATAGTCCTTGCAGTAGCTCCCTTTCTGCATGTACTCTGACTGCTCAAGGTTCAGCCAGTTGTTTACTGTCTGGGACTCCTCACCAACTTAGAGCTGCGTGCATGGGTCAAGGACAGAGCCTGGACCACTGAGTCAGCTCCATAGTCAGTATGTGCTAGGCCAGCCAGCCTCCATGGCAGCTCAAAAACAAAGCCTGGGACTTGTCCAGGCCTGCCCCTCCTAAAATGGATAACTGTAACCCCCAACTAACCCTAGCCAATTAAAAATTACTAACATGATTGCCACTCGCATAAACCAATCCTGAGTCTGTTCCTATATAGTCTGTAGACCCCAAGCCCCCCTTGCTTCAAAAATCCTGCCCCATTGCTACTCAGGGTCTCTCCTGCTCTGCTGCTGCATCAGACAGACAGAGTCCCAAGTTAACTTGTAACAATACAAAGACTCTCCTTTTACATTGGATTTGGTCTCTTGGTGGTCTTTGAGGGACTCTGAGTATAACAATATAAATTTTACAAGAGTTCTTTACTAACAATTAAGTTTGATTAGAAGCTGGGCATGGTGGCACATGCCTTTAATCCCAGCATTCAGGAAGCAGAGGCAGGTGGATCTCTGTGAATTAGAGGGCAGCCTGGGCTACAGAGTGAGTTCCAGGACAGCCACAGTTATGTAGAGACCCTGTCTCAAAAAAAATTAAACAAACAAAATAAAACAACAACAAAATTTGATCAAAACTATAAAATGAGTGCTAATGCACATGGTCTGAGGAAGTCTGAATTTAGAGCAGTAGTGGGGGTTAAAATTTTGAATATACTCCAAACGACTCAACTGTATACTTCAAAAGAGCAAACTGTATGGTATGTGAATTATATCTCAATAAGACTGCTAGGGTTAGGGTTAGAATTAACTCAGAGTTAGGGTTAGATTTAACTCAGGGGTAGGGTTAGAGTTAACTCAGGGTTAGGGTTAGATTTAACTCAGGGTTAGGGTTAGAGTTACCTCAGGGTTAGGGGTTAGAGCCAGAGTTATTCAGGTTCAGAATACATTTTTTAGACCTCTTTCAATATAAGCACTGACTTTTCTATTCTCCTTTCTCTCCTGAGATCTTTTCCCACATGTTTATCCATTATTCTATTTGTAGAGCTTAACAATTTTAAATTGCCAAGTTCACAACTTTAGTATTTCACTTTTGTTAAATTTGTTTGAAAACAAGATCCTGGAATTTAGGCTCTTCCTTAATTTGCATATAATATGTTAATTTATTTACTGTGGTCTCAGGATGTTAACTCTATATGGCCTGGAATTTGCTCTGTAGACCAGGCTGGCCTCAAAGTGACAGAGACCATCTGCCTCTGCCTCTCATATGCTGGGATTAAAGTCATGAGCCACCATGCCCAGCTAAAGCATGGCCTTAAAAACACCTTTCAGTTAATACCATCATTCCACACCCCAAATGACTCTTATGAAAGATGGCTTCTGGACTATCTAAATTACTCCATGTTATGAAGTATTAATTTGAATTAATGGCCACATTGATGCCCAACAAGATATTTGGCTTACATACAGACTGCAATGAGATTGTAGTAAACTGATCTGATAGAGAAAAAGACACAATCAAGCCTTCTGTAGCTGGTCAGAGCACAACTCTTCCCTCGGAAAAATTGCCCACTATGGGGGCAGCAGGGATAAATTTCCTGATACTCCTATATGACGAATGGTGAATGACTTAATCCTTTTTAAATTTCATGTTTTGAGATGAGTTGGATGGAGACCCACTATGTATTTCTGCAGGAAGATTAAAGAGCATTCAGATGTGCTCTACCCTTTATACCACTCATTAGGAAACACCAGCATAGCCCTTTGCAGTTGATGGCTTCTGGTGGGGGTGGGGGAATGAAAGGACTCAGTTTTCTTTCATGGGCTGGCCACTGGGAGTTTGACCATGTTCCAATGAGTATATGGGCAACCCAAATTGGACTTGGTGTATTTTTTATTTTTTTCGGGGGAGGGCTCAAAGGTAGAAAGGTATGGGAGGGGTGGGAATTGAGTGTGATCAAGGTGCGTAGTATGAAATGTCCAAATAATCAATAGGGATATTATATTGGGAAAAAATAAAGAAAAAGAAAATACCAGCATTTACTGCATGGCATAATATTGCAAAGCTCTGTAAATTATATTTGCCCACAAATGTTTCTGTTCTGTTCTGTTAAAGATGTTAAGAATCAAGGTTTGTATAGTAAGAAGTATATATGAGAAAACCACATTAGGGAGAAATAATCAATGTTAAAAGAGAATGAAACTATCCATAAGAACTGAGGTATATGGCTATGTAGATACATACATGTATGGTGTGTCGAGAACCTCTGTCCAGAAAAAGGGCTTAGAAGAGGTGTGATGAGCACCCCTGCCCTCCAATATCTGTTCAAAAGAACTATAACATGGCTGACTCCAGTACAGGGGCATTGGAAGCTGAGCTTAGGATATCATGTCAGACAAGCAAGGAGGACAACTTTCAAAATTTAATGCACTTTTGTCAACTGAAGTCAGAAAATCAAGCTCAAAATAACTCCCATTATCCCAAAGTGTGCCAACTTAGGCAGCAAATGCAACAATGACTGTGACAAGCAACATTGTGAATGGCTTTCCCAGGGAGCGAAGGTGATAAGGGTGCCTGCTTACATGGGTCTTGTGTTCTGTATTGTAAAAAACCACCTCCAATGGTGCTCAGAAAACATCTATCGCAGAGAGAGGAAGAGAACAATCTGGCTAGAAAGGAGTCTTCCAGGGTACTGGAAAGAGAGATGTAACTGCGTGTCAAGCCATAGACTTCAGATTTGTAGACTTTCCTACTGTATGTTATCCTTCAATAAAAAGAAGTGCTGAGTATAATGTATATAACAGTGAAACACTATTAAATCTACAAGCTCAAAAAGACAAGGCAAAAGCTGGGCAGTAGTGGCATGCATCTTTAATCCCAGCACTCGGTTGGCAGGGGCAGGTGGATCTCTGAGTTCAAGGCCAGTCTGGTCTACAGAGTGAATTCCAGGAGAGCCAGGGCTCCACAGACAAACCCTGTCTCAGAAAACAACAACAACAACAAAACCCATTAAGGCAGAAAACTCATGTTCCATCCTTCAAGGCAGTGGTTCTCAACCTGTGGGTTGTGATCCCCGGGTGGCAAACCAGCCTTTCACAGGGGTCACACATCAGATCTCCTGCATATCAGATATTTGCATCACAATTCACAACAGTAGCAAAATTAGTTATAAAGGAGCAATGAAAATAATTTCATGGTTGGGGTCACTACAATATGAGGAACTGTTTTAAAGGGTTGCAGCATTAGGGAGGCTAAGAACTACTGCTTTAAGGTGACTTTTAATTCAAATGCTTACCTTAAAAAATGGGTAAAAGAGAATTGAATTTTCCCTTCAAGTTTAAAGGAAGAAATTAAACACATATTAGAAGAACTGTATTTTATAGTATGGCCTTTGTTAATGAGAATGGGCTGTATTATAGAGGAACATCAGTTACCAAAGAATACTTACCAAAGAATGATTTTTTAAAAGACTATATCATTTTACAAAGACTAATAAAATACTGACATAGGAACAATTTAATTTCCTCTTTTCCTTTCCCACTTGGGGGTCTTTTATTTCTTTCTCTTGCCTAAATGCTTTCTATACTACGCTGGACAAAACTGGTAAAAGTGGGTGTCCCTATCAGGCCAAAATGGTCAACTAGGATAAAAACCAATAGGTAAATGGTTGATGGGTAATTATACTTTTGTAAAGCACCTCCCTCCAAAAACAACTACCAACAACAACAAAAAAAGACCTCACATGGATTACTTCCTAGTGAAAAAAGGCTGAATTATACTACAGAGCAGTGCTTCTCAACCTATGGATTGTGACCCCTTCGAAAAACTTCTATCTCCAAAAAATAGACATTACAGCTCATAACAGTAGCAAAATTACAGTTATAAAGTAGCAACAAAAATAATTTTATGGTTGGGGGTCACCACAACATGAGGAGCTGTATTATAGGATTGCAGCATTAGGAAGGTTGACCACAGAGGAATCAGATAGCCATCACCTAAATTATGGTCTACCCTTAGCATCACAGATAATGGATCAACCAGAAATCATACGTCTAAACATACAATTCTGCAACAGTACTGATGGAGTATTCCAGTGGGGAAAAAATAAAAAAGCTCCACTAAGAGCCTTTACAACAACTTTGATTTCCATCAAATATGGGAATAAGGAACAAACTAAATATACTTCAGAGAAGAACTAAACACATCAAGGTAGGGATGTTTTGTTGACATAGTCTTTCAACAACAGCACTTTCTATATTAAAAACAACTTGAGACTATCCAGATATGTCATGTGGCCCTGGAATGGATCCCAGTTTGGAAAATTCAGGAAATTTTTAATGAGATGAAAGCTACTGACATGGAAAAGTAGAGATGGTTAAATGAAACAAATGCATATTGTTCAACAGTATGAAAAGTGATCTCACTTGGAGAAAATACATACATATGTAAATAGCAAATTATCTAAAATAATATAAACAAAATTGCACCCATAGCAATGTCTGAGTTGTGGAAAGACAATGATTTTTCCTTTCTTTTTTCACTTATTATTTCCTAGATTTTTCTGTTGTTTTGTTTTTTTACAACACATAAATTAATAAAAGATTACTTTAAATTGAAAAATTGAAAACCAAAGACTAGATTATTTTATAAACATAAAATAGTGACACTTTACTAACATAAAAAATGATAGCTGTTCTATGTGTAACAACTTTTCATTTTTGATAATGTACTGTGATAAACTATCCATAATTAGAACTTACTGTCAGCTACTTTGAAGTGAGTAGCTTAGATGCTTGGGCCGATTCATACTGTTGTACAACCATCACCATATCAAGTACTTTTTCATCCTCACAAAGAGGAAATCGGTACTCCCTAACAATTCCTCATTCTCCCTCCCCAAGAGCCTTGGCATCCACCCGGCTACCTTCTGACTCTGAAATGACTGCTCTAGGCATCTCATAAAAGTGGAATAGCACTATTTATGCTTTTGAGTATGGCCTATTCCACATCAAATAATGACTTCAAGATTCATCTACACTGAAGCATGTATCAGAATTCCCTTCTTTTTAATGCTTCACTGTGTGGGTAGACTCCATCTTGACTGATTAATTTCACAGTAGAATAAACTTCTACTCACTGTCAATACCTCTGAAGTGCACGGACTCCTAGGACAGTGGGAATTCCATTTAAATGATGATTCTAGCTACCCAATTCTTGTTCTCCTTCCCAGCATAAAGACTTTCTCCAATCTTCCTTTCTTTAAGGACCACTTTGGCTGTCCAGTGATTAAAACCACAGAGAATATGTGGCGCAAAAATATTGTTCAATTGTCTGCCTGGTACTTTCTGGAGACAAATCAAGATATTTTATAATGATAATCAAAGTGGTTTCTTACTGTTTAGCCTTGTATTTTGATGCATCCCTTGGTTCGCTACTGGGATTGCTCCAGTCATCAGCTTCAGGAGTTGTCTTGTAATGGCGCCATGCAGACTTATTGAAAACAGGCAGCCTCTCAAACGATTCACTAGAAAGGGCCTATTAGAAAAAAGGACATACAGCAAAGATCTAGGATTCTATTTTTCTCACATGAAATTCACACATTTTATTATTTTAAACACCAGTAACCATTTTTGTTTTTGAAATTAAATTTATTTTACAGATTTACTTAGGCTGGCCAGGAGAAAGATCCTGAACCCTTTATAAATGAGTGAAATCATTTGCTCACTCCCTCGCCCAAAATCAGTGCTGAAACACATATGACAGGAACAAAACACATTGTAATTCAGTCAATACTGCTTTGTGATACTTAATAGTTTTGACAGTATGTGCTTAGATCAAGTATTTTTATTCAACAGGTAACTGCTGCCCTAAAAAAGCCCCAGAAGAAATAAAGCTTCATAAACATTTGCCAACAAATGATATTAAACATAACCTCATTTAGGAGCTGGGAATGTAGCTCAGTAGTAGAAGCATGTATAGTATCATGCAGGAGGCTCTGGGTTCCATCTCCAGCCCCAGAGCAAGCAAACTAACCCCATATTGAGATATAGACATCCAAATAATGAGTGCAATTGTGATATCATTTCCAGTAATATACTAGGTCACGGTTAAAAAGAATGAGTCAGTTCTACATGAATCAGTGTGGAAAGTTCTGTAAGATACATTCCAAAGTTAAGAAACAAAACCAAGCTGCTGAAATGTCTTTTGGATTAGTTGTTTTGTTTTTTTTTATCTATTTATAAATGCAGAACCAACTCTATTACAGCTTTTTGATGTTGCTATTTTTTGAGACAGGGTCTCACTATGTACCCCTGGCTGACCTGGAACTTTCTACATACACCAGGCTAGCCTGTCTATGCTTTCCAAGTGCTGGGCTTAAAGTTGTGTGCTACCACACCCAGCTCCTCTATTACATTTTTGTTTGTTTTACTTCTGTGATAAAGGAATAGAACCCAGAGCCTTATACATGCTAGGAAAGATCTACACCACGGAGCTACATCCCCAGCCCTATAAATACAGAATCAACTCTAGGAGGATCCATAAGAAACAAAAACCCAGCACCTCTTGAAGACAAGTGTGGCTTAGTGCCAGCAGTGAGATACTTCATTTCCCCCTTTGAAGTTTTTAAATGTTACTATATGCCTTTATTACCTATTGAAAAAGCATACCAAAATTTTAGAATTCAGAAATAGAAGTCTAACACCACCAGTAAATGAGAAAAACTGTGTGTTAGAGAACTTAGCTATCAGATGAATATTTTAAATGGCCATTATTATGCTTTTTTGACTTAAAAATACTGTACAATGTAAAAGGTCCACTAAGGCATTTTTGTATATAATTTGTTTTTGCTGAGTCTCCTCCCATCTACCTTTTCCCTTCCATCCCTAAGTCTACCCCTGGGTACCCTTTCAACTCCAGTAGTTTGCTGCTTTTATGTGCTCTTCTACTATCCTCCCACCATCCTCAAAAATTTCTTTTCTCTCATGGACCTCTTTATAGTTTTGTGACCTATACTGATGTTCATTTCCACATATGTACATATATATACACATACACACAAATTAAAACTATGGTCTGCATGAGAGCAAGCATTCAGTATTTGTCTTCCGGAGTCTGGGTTACCTCACTTGACATAAAGATCTTTTTATATAAAGATACTATCATTACTGAATTCTTTTATTTTTTTATTTTTAGATTTTTTTTTGAGGCAGGGCTCCACTGTGTAGCCTGGGCCATCCTGGAACTTGTTCTGCAGACCAGGCTGGCCTTGCACTCACAAATCCGTCTGCCTTTGCCTCTGCCTCCTAAGTGCTAGGATTAAAAGTATGCACCACTACCGCCTGGCTTTATTACTGAATTCTTACAACTTGAGAAATAAGCGAAAGACTAGAAGACTTCAGACTACTGTTAATCGGTCTCGTTTTAAACTAGGTTTTTCAATGAACATATAATTTTAAAAAACTCCAATTTAGATCTATGGTTATAAAATCAAAAATTTAAGTTTCATACCTCTATGCTTCTTATTTTGTTGTGTTTTGGCATAAAATCAAGCATGAGGCATAGCATGGTTTCATAAATCTGATCTCAAGGTAAGAGATGATACAGTGCTTTTCTCGACTAGTTACGGGTACTTGCAGCTTTTAAGAGTCAAGAAGTCTTTATACCAACAGAAACGAAACACATTACCTTCAGATAAATGACAGCATCAGTACCCACTCCTTCCATGGAGTACAGTTTTAGATCTCCCTGAAAATATCTGGCATACAGTCGAGAAATTGGCAAGCCATAACCAAACCCAGCCTATGAAGAAAAGAAAATTAATAGAATAAGACTGGTGCAAATGCTTCATAGGGTACCACTTACAGAAAATTAAAATAAATCCCTGATCTGAATTGAAATCAAATGAAGTAGTAACCCAACCTTTGTAACACTATGTCTATAATCTATGACCAAAAATTTCCAATTTTTATTAAAAAAAAATAACCACCCATCAAGTTCGGGTAACAGAAAAAAAATTCACTTTTGATTAATGCTTTTTAAAAAGCCATTTTGAGGAAATTTTTACCTATGTATGAGCATAAAATGAGGGTACCTTTTTTTGAACTAGGGTTTCCTATATCATTATATATCTGAGGTTGACCTTGAGCTCCTGACCCTCTTGACTCCACCTCCTAAGTACTGGGATTCTAGGCAGTGAACCCACCAGGCCTGGTTTCTACAGTGCTGGGGATAGAATCCAGAGCTTCATGCATGCAGGAAGGACTCCAGCAACTGAACAACCCTGTGCTCCCAGGGTTACTTTTCAAAAGTGTATACGTATTATCCCCACAGCTTAGTGTAGCTCTGTCTCTCAACAAAGAAGCTCCTCCTTCTTTCTGCAGGAGACAGACACCATCATAGACAGTTCCAATTGGTTAAACTGCAGACAACAGCTGACCATAGGGCGCCTCTCCAAGACTGAGAAATAAACCTATAACACAATTCCTACACTTAAGGCTCAGGGGCGTCCTGGAAAGGTGGGCAGAGGATTGTTAAGATGAGCAGGGGATCTGCTGCAAGATAGTGCCCTCTTAAAAACAACATACAAGTTGGAAGTAGAGGGAGGAGGGAAGAGGTGGTGGACGTGGGAAGAGGAGTGGGGAGTGAATGTGATGGAAATAGAAAATATGTTGTATGAAAGTCTCAAAGAATAAAAACATTAGATTAAAAAGTGACTCCTCAGTCAGCTGGAGTTTGTTCGGATGACAACACAGAAGCACATTCACTTCCAAGTTGCATTATCAGACTTCTCTGCAGCCCGAAGTGAATGATTAGCACAAGAGTTGAATTTTGTCTTTCTTTTTTGTGGGTTTTCAAGACAAGGTCTCTCTCTATAGCCCTGGCTATCCTGGAACTCGCTCTGTAGACCAGGCTGGCTTCAAACTCAGAAATCCTCCTGCCTCTGCCACCCAGAGTGCTCGGATTAAAGGTGTGCACCACCACTGCCTGGCAAGAGTTGAAATTTACTAATAACAAGACTAACCCACAGAAAAAAACTCCTAAGAGGTTCCTTCCTAAGGGTCTAGAAAAGCTACAGTATGTTGAAACAGTGAATGGCTAGTTTTAGAAATAAAAAAAATTTAGTACCTTTCTATATTTCAATGTCATCGAACTGCAGCCAATATAATTTTTAAACTAAAGGTCACAGATACTGGCAAGAATAAGAACAATGATACTAAAGTGATTTTGTGGCTGGCTACAGGTGGGTATGGGGAGATGCACTCAGGTAGGCTTTAACCCTTTGGATTAAATCTGGATGGGAAAAGGGACTAAGGAAACAGGGCTATGTTCACACAGGATTCTGACTCTGAAAACTCGAAGTTGAAATCTACATTTCTGTGTGACTAAGCAGTTTGTTCAACTTTAAGACTTTTCTCACCATGAAATGAAAAGCTTACTCCTGAGATGATAAGGATGGCATAGCATAATAAATGCTGTCTCTGTGCAGTCTATCACACACTAAAACTCAGTAAGATAGCTCAGTTTTGCTAACAAACCTGAGGACCTGAGTTCAATAGCCAGGGTCTGTTTAAGATAGAAGCAGTGAATTGACTCCACAGAGTTGTCCTCCGACCTCCCAAAGTATCAGAGAGTGAACAGGACATGTGGAGACCACGCTGTGCCATGCTCTAACTTGTTTCAGACTGTGAAAACCAGTGGCTTTCTGGCTGTGCCTTGTCATGGACAAATCTGCTTTACAAAGTAACATTTGGCTCCACACCTCACAGTGCATATAGACATCAACTGTCCAGCACCATCAACAGGACACAGACTAGTAATATTTCTAGTGTAAAAAGGTACCACCTATAAATTTATCTAAGTAAATAGGGAACATATGAATACATGGTGTATTAAAATCATTTCAGGTGCTGGGGCTGTAGCTCAGTGGGTAGAGTACCAGCCTAGCACACCAAAGGCCTTGGGTTCGATTCCCCACCACCTCCTAAACTGAGGTGGCACACATGTCTGTCCTCCAAGCAGGAAGATCAAGAGTTCAGGGTCATCCTAGCTTCAGCCAGCTCCCAGTCCACCTGGATGACATCAGCCTCTGCTGATGGTGCTCAAAACCACCATCACAAAAAAGATAGATCGTGTGCTGATAAGATGGTCAAAGCATTTGCTGTGCAACCCTAACAACCAGAGTTCAATCCCTGGAATCAACACATACATACAACTGTCCTCTGACTTCCATACACACGTCTAATGGTACAATTTTAACCATCTGTCTTTAGGGCTCAGAGATGGCTCAGCAATTATGTGCACTTGCTGTTCTTGCAGAGGACCCTGGGCTACTTCCCACCACCCATGTGGCTGCTCACAATCTTCTGTAACTCCAGTTCCAGAGGATCCCATGTCCTCTTCTGATCTCTGCTGGTACTAGGCACGCATGTGGTACACATATATATATATATGCAGGAAAACACTTATACACATAAAACAGTTTAAAATTTGTTCACTTAAAAAACAATGTATGAAGGAAGGCAGAGATATGTAAAATAAGCCATTTGGAAAGGAAATTCTTTTCTAGTACTACATAGCCATGGCCCCATTTGAAAGTTGAGGACAGTTTACTAATTGGGAGAGATGTCGAAGCATTTCTTCAAGGGCAGCCACAACAGTATACTAGAAGTTAGTTCACAGACAGCCAGTACCAGTTACCATTAATTTCCTTTGCCCCTCTTTCCCGCATCTATATAATGGGAAGGTGAATAATGGTCTCTTGGAGTCCTCTGTTTCCCAAACAAACAAACAAACATGGCATACAGAGCTACCCTCAGGATGCTATTTTAAGACCTAGAATAGATAACCCAGATTCTTTTGAAACAACTGGTGCAGATGCAAGATTTGTACCAGACCCTGGTCAAGGTAATACTATTCCAAATTGATCTTTTATGAATTTTCTTGAATCCTGTATAAATGACTTCCTCAGTTTTCCACATGCTGAGTTAACAAACTCTGCCTCAAATAACAATGCAAAGTGTTTGATTTTATTCATACAAATAAAATATAATCTTATGTGCTTATCAGTCAGGTAGGACTTTAAAATGAAACTTAATTTATACCCTGAGCCATTTTGCAGACTGATAGATACATTGCTGTGTTTAATGACAAAGGGTTCAATTGTTGTTTGTCAATTAGAAACACTCAGCAGGGGAAGAAAGTGTGGCCCTACCAGGAATAAATGCTACCATGGTAACCAGAGGCTTTTCTCACTGACTGAATAAGGCTGAAGGTTATTTCTAGAGTGCTACACAGAGACCTCTGAAAATACATACACCACCTATATGTTTTGTGCTTAGATTATGAAAATTTCAATGTTTTCATAATTTCATAAATATTTTAATTATATAAACAACTTGGACAGTGGTGACCCAAAGACTCTGGGTGACTTGGGCCTATAAGGTGTGCAGCACCAAAGCTGTAGCCAAGCACTCTACAGTCCCTTCGCTCACCCGTGGGTAATGTCCACCTCTCCGAGGGGGTGCATGATGATAAGTGGCCCTCCGGCAGCAGTCTTAGCACAGAGAAAAGCTTTTTCACACTGTATTTGTGAGTGTTGCAGTGTTTCGTGAACAAATTAAAACAGCACTCTCAGTCCAAAGAACTCATGAACTAAATAGCTAAGGCAAAAAGGTGCCTCTGCTCCCACCCGTACCAAAAACATCCTCATTCAGGTAAGGCAAGTATAAGCACCTGAGGAGAAGGGCAACTCTCTATCCCTGTGGCAAAGACCTTTCCTTCTGTAGCAGTTTGCCATGCTTACCAAGGGAGCAGCTCTTGTAGGCTCCAGGCTGGGGCGAGGAGCAGTTGAATACATGTAGTTAAAAAGTCGGTCTATTTTTCGAAGTGGGACTCCACCACCTAGGTCACTTATCTGCAGTGGACAAAATGTTAAAAATAAAAGGGAGTCAATCTGTGCTTAAGGAGGTGGTGAGAATTCATTAGATCAAGCATATGATAGAAGGCTCTAAAATGAGTAAGGGCTTTGAGCTGCCATTGAAGAATGGTTCCTTTGGGGTCAATGTAAACAAAGGACACAGAGTAGTGTAGCAAAATCTGACAGGCTTGGTACTGAAGTCTTTCTCATGAACACTCAAGGAGGTAACTTAAGCCAAGAATCCAGCACAATATAGTCATGTTTCCATAAAGGACAGGGACACATTGAGAAATGTGCCAGTAGTCAATGTCATCAGGCAACTATCTTAGAAGGTGCTTATACAGAATTACTACAATGTCACTAGACAACAGCAACTTACAAGACTGCCACTATCTATTCATTCATATGTTCAGATCATTCAGAGAAAGCACTGCTACATGACTTTACTTATAAACAACACACTCAAGAAATGCCAACTTTCTTTCCTTCCCTCTCATACTATTAAATCAACTGATGATTAAAGGAAAAACGCAAACAAAATCTTACCTTAATGGACAAGTCTTCTTTACCGAGAGTAACAAGAGTTTTGACAGCTGGGTAGCCCTCTTTTCTATGTTCATGTAGTTCAACTGTTGCTCTCATTGAGTTCTAAAACAATAAGTTCTTTTTGAAAAGCCATGCTTCTGACTCACAAAGTACAACTAAATTACATTAAATGTATTGATTATTTTTGGTGCTGAGTAGAACTCAGAGCCATGAACATGCTAAGCATGTACTCTACCACTGAGCTAGCCCTAACCACGAAAAACCACAATTTCAAAAAAGAAATAAGCACAAGATTACTTATAAGTATAGTTATTTTGTGGAGCTACTATTAAGATTTATGGGATTTTTTTTTCTGTCAAAGAAAATGTTCCTGATGTTCTATTTTGCATTTAATTGTTAAACATGTTTCTTTCCTTTTTTTGGCTCTAGGGATTTTTTTGGGGGAGGGGAGTGGTTGAGACAGTGTCTCACTATATAAACTAGGCTGGCCTTGAATTCAGAGATACACCTCTCTTTATTTGTCCAGTAATGAGATTAAAGGTATGTGCCACCAGGCCCAGTAGCTGTAGGGTTTTTAAATTATTCAGCTCAACCCAAAAGATTGTTTGTATCATGTGTAATGAGGCTACAGAAGCTGATTTTTGCTCTTTAAATACTATTTATCAGTTGCATTTATAAAGTACCTTTCCTCTAATGAAAGCAGAAAAACTGAAGGGGTTCATATTTCCCATAAAAATTAATCACTGGATTGAAAGAAGGATAAAATATTGATTAAAAAGAAATTCTGAAAGGTCACAGATGAAGAGAAAGCTCACAACTGAATGCCTACCTCAGTGTTCCACCAGTAGCATTCTTGCTCTTGGGAACAAAACAGCACAACTGATTCTTTAGGTGTTCAATTTAGTGTTTTATACACTAAAAGTGATAAAATGTTAGCTCAAACACCCTGTGTGCATAACACTGCTACCATACATATGACTGGACACTTGGTAACAAAAGCAACAGCTTAGGCCACAGAGAAACTTAAAAGGGTTTTGTTTTCTTTCCTTTTTAGCCCAGGCTCCACGCTCTTCCTCCCTTGCCTCTATCAGGCCTTCTGAACTTATTCAAATTATAAAACAGTTGTAGGATACCTCAGGACTGGAATGACTATACATTAGCACAGTTCATGCTCCAGAATCGTAGACAGACAGAAACGTGTTTTTATTTGGGTCTGGTAATCACCAATAAAACCTTTGCCAGGTTTGAAAACCTAAAAAGCATCTCTAATCACCTAACTAAAAGAAAAACAGTATGGATTTGATGTGAAGTTACCAAAGTACAATTAAGTTTCAAAACCAATATGTACTAATATTCATAAAACTATACTGTACACAGCAATTTTTCATCTCACAGTGTACAGATTATAAAGCCCACAGGATATCAGAAATAGACTTTTAAAATGGTTATGCAAAATCTTTTTCTTATGCTAATCTAATGAATCCATTATGCCCAGAATCAAAGCCACTTAAAATGAAGACTTCTTCCTATGCTTTAAAATTCCACTTACCTTGAACAGCTCAAATAGCATGTGAAACAGATGTGACGGCACATAAACTACCTGAATAGGTTTGTTTGGTGCTTTGGCTGAAAACAGAGACAAACCATCAATGAATAAGGACCCAAAGTAGGAGAACATAAAAAATGATGCTTGTATTATTCTATTTTCCAAGTATATAAAACAAACCTCCAAAAAAAGGCTAATAATACAGATTCCCACATTTAATGGCATAACTGAGCAAAAAACACATGTTTCAGAATCCAGCAAACACACAGTGAACTACACTTCATTCACTGTAGCTTCGTGACCTTGAGCAAATCAATTAAGTTCTTTCAAATTCTGTTAAGCAAAACTGAAATAGTATCATTTGTGTCATGGTATTCTGAGAAACACACAAGAACATACAAACATCTCTTGGAATTTTTCAAATCAGGAGGACAGATCTGCCATCAATCCCAGGAGTCATCTGTGGCAATATGAACCAACTGGGAAGGCGTGGTAAGCTAGACTTAACAGCACTGCCATGGTTTGAATCTTAACTACTCACTGAAAGGCTCATATAAAAGCTTGGCTAGCTGCCAGATGACAGGCTTTAGGGAAATGTATGAATGTATCAAGAGGGCTCTGACACAATTGCCGAGAGCCATGTGACTTCTTCGGGGGGCAAGGCTTGGGAATAGCACGAACAAGTTCTCCTGTGGCAAGGCCCTGGAGGATCTGACCCATTGTGGCAAGACCAATGGATAGTTCGCTGCATAGTCCTGGGCATGCCCCCAGGAGCATATGTGCCACCCGCTCTCCTTGCTCTCCTTACACAAACCGTATTGCTGGCTGCCTCTAGTTTCACTTTTTAGAGCTACAGATGCAATAGCTGTTACATTAGGAAAATTTCCCCCGATGACGCTCCTCTGGGTGAGCCACAGGGGATGTTGTTAAAAATGTACAGTGGACCTGATCCTAAAGCCTTGATGTTTCAAGTGTGACCATGAATTCAGGATTCTCCAAGAACAGGAGGTTGCCTTTCCAACTCACCTTGTCTGAAAGAGTCACAGTAGTTCATGACATTACAAATCTGCATAACTGTCCTAGAGAGAATGATTTTAACCACAAGAAATGAGAATATAGGAGATGGGGGTGGGGATTTAGCTCAGTGGTAGAGCACTTGCCTAGCAAGCGCAAGGCCCTGGGTTCGGGCCTCAGCTCCAGGAAAAAAAAAGAGAGAGAGCGAGAGAGAATACAGGAGAAATGCAAATAAATAGGATATCGAGAGTTAATGGGAACGGTCTAGGAACAGGGAATGAAGCAGAATCATAGAAACCCACAATGCCCTCCTTTCTAATAGCTGTGCCAATACTGTAAGAAGTCGAGAGGAAGGGGACATGAGAACAGGAGATAAGCAGTGGCAACTATTAAGAGGAAGCTTTTAAGTTATGTAGTGTACAGGATGTTAGGAGAAAACCCGGTATAAAACCCGGTATATTCCCATAGCAGATAGAGAAGTACAGAATGAAGAATGAATTGATTCAGCCTTGGCTGATGAGTTTATTGTGAGAACTTAGATTTGACTCGAGGCAAACATTAACCACTACAAGCAAAGCTCTCTCTCACTTTGCATGATGCTGTAATCGTAAATGCTGCCAACTGGGCACACTGTTGTACCTGTAGGTGTGCCTAGTTAGAAAAACTTTGTCACTTGCAACGCTGCTTATGTTCCTGACATTAGAGCTGTGAATCAAGTAGGTAATGGTTACCCATGGGAAAGTGGGGGACAGAAGGGGAATGAGGTAAAGGAACACACTGGCAATTATTGTAACCATTATTAGAAACTTAAGGAAACAAAATTGATTGTAAAACTGTCCATGCAAACCATTGAAATTGTATAAATAAAAATGGCCCAGGCTATCCCAGGCCACTTGTTTGAAACAGGTGGTCAGAGTTTCTTTGCTGTGCTGACTTCACACATCCATCCCAGGTCATCGGACAAGGTTGGAGTTAGACTCCCAGCAGGTGGCACCCCAACAGGCCTGAGAGGCCAGTCACTGCAGAAGAGCCACAAAAGTGCTCTTTTCTTCCCTGTGAGTCCAATGACAAAACTCGTGTTACTTGGAGGAAATACTTTCTGTCTTCCAGTGAAATGGATTCTGTCTATATTCTTCCAATCGCTCATCATCACATTACCCTTTTCAGAACATATCACATTCAGTCTGTGATAGTGTGAATGAGAAATGTCCCCCAAAAGCTCATGTATTTGGATACTTGGTCCCCCATTGGAAATGCTATTTAGGGAGATTATGGGACCTTTAAGAGGTAAAACTTGGCTGGAGGAAGCATTTTATTTCCTGCTTGCTTTTATCCGCCTCACTCCTTTCCCCTCCCCTTCCTGTGTGCTAATGAAAATATGAACAGCTAGCTTCTTCCTCTTGCTTCCATGACATGCTTTCCCCACCAGGAAGGACACTATCGTTCTAAAACCATAAGCCAAAATGAACTTTCTTTCTTCCTTTTGGTCATGGTATCTGATCACAACATAACATGAAAGTAATACTACACAGTCCATGTCTCTCTTCTATGCCGTACATTTTTCCTATTGCGCCCAATCACTCTTCTCTTGGGTATCCTCACTGTATTACCAAGATACAGCCTTTTTATTTGCATGGTATCCATGCTATTCTTTAGGAATTTTCAAATCAGACTCCGCTGCTTTTTAAACATGCTACGTGGCCATCTCTGAGGTTTTAAAATGTCTTGTGTATTTTTTACATCTATATTATACAGCCCATTGACCCAGTTATATAACCTACCTTACTCAAGTGTGCACAGGAAACACATCTCTCAATCCTGATAACCCTGTCTCAGTTGAGGGTTTAGCTAAATAAAGAATCTGGGGTTTGAAAAGCATTCTTTCTCAAAATTTGGTAAAGAGAGGCAGATTCTGGCAGTAACAGTATAGCAGAGTAATTCAACGCCAGTTGGGTGTTGCCAAAGTCTGACATACCATGGTTGTGATTTTGTTTAGGAATTCAGTTTAGAACTGAATTCATCACTTGAGGTAGCCAGTGTTCCTTTCCCTTTGGAGATTGCCCATAGTGAGAAGGCTGACTTGGACCTTTTAAAACCTGATCAAGATTCCACTGGCTTTAGAATAAGCCCTTAGCTTAGTAAGGTAGACTACAACCAGAGAGGCCTTCAAATGCTAAAATGAAGAAGGCTTTACTTTGGAATAATATTATTCCCAGAACCAGCCCAGTAAGCTGTTCTTGAACAACATCCATTTATGTTGCTGTGCTGTTAGAGCCTAGACAGTGTAAAGCTCTTCCCTGTCATCTCTCCAGGCTTCTCTTCGACCAGCTTTCAGCTAATCTCTGTCCTTTGGCTTCCCTTCTGTCTATTGTTTGCATCACTCCCCTCTGCTCCCACAGCCCCTCTCTGGGATAACTGGAAAGAATGGTTGCCATCTCTGCAGCAGCCTGCTCCTTTTAGGTTGGTCCTGTCCTGTCCTATCAGTCAGCATACTTCTATCCGGCTGTACTCTTCCAGGAGTTGCCACTAGTGGGTTTCCAGGACTCAGTGTCTGTGTCTCTCTCAATTCACACCTCAAAACTTAATTACCAAAGTGATGGTACTTAGAGGTGGGCCCTTGGGGAGTTGATTATTTGCCAGAATGGAGCCTCATGAATGGGATTAGAGTTCTTCTAAAAAAGACCCCAGAGAGCTCTCTGGCCCCTTCCTACATGTAAAGGCACAGCAAGAAGTCATCTGTAAGTCAGAAAACAGGCCCTCGCCAGACACCAAATCTATTCATACCACGATCTTGTACTTCCCAGGTTCTAGACCCATGAGAAACAAATGTCTGTTATTTAATCCACCCAGTCTCTGATGGTTTTGTTTAGTAGCCTGAAGAGACTAATATACTAGTCCACTTATAAGCCTCCTTGGCTTCCTTTGCTGTTTTTATGGGATTCTTTGATTGTGGTTGTAATGGGGCTGAGAAGCAAGCTGAGTGCTTCGTCTATCTTGTGGCAAACTGCATCATTATTATATAAACAGCCTCAGAATTCAATTCAACCTTTTCAGTCCAAATCTCAAGGAAATGAAAAACATTTTACAGTTTGTTTTCTTCTTTTAAGTTTAAACAACATTCTCTAGGAGTCATCTAAAGGTTTGCTCAATTATGTATACTTTTCTTTGGGAATATTACAGTTGACATTTCTTTTCTTCCTTTTAAAACCATGTAAAATGTTTTTGGCCATGATTCTTCCCTTATCCTGGGCCTAGTGGCTGCAGTGGATGATTAATAAAGGTTTGTTGGCTTTCTAAAATAAGATGAACGGAATATGAATATTCCCTCTAATAGTACATTTTTAAAAGTCAGTGAAAAAAAGTGGTCTGAGTTTTTATGCTTGAGACTCAAGAAATAATAAAGTCTGTTTTGCACAGTCATTGCCCAAAACACCATTAGTTGAAGCAGCACTTAATAAATGTCAACAGAACTCTATACAAACATAAGGAATTTGACTTTGAGATGACTTTCCTATAAGTATGGAAAGTGGGAAGTGGAGGCTAAGCAGGAAAAATAAGAATATAAAAGAAGAGGTAGCAGCACAATTAAGCCTCAAAGTGAATGGAAAAGGCTTCTGAACACAGGATGGACTGCACATTCCTATCCCAAAGTGACTTCTAAGGATACTCCCACTTGCCTGAAGGTACAGGAACCATTCGGAAAGGACACAAAGATGGAAGTGCCACACCATTTTAGGAGCTCTTGGAAAGACAGCTCGGATACAATCAGCATTTAAGTCACCTTCTATGGACTTAACATTAAAATATTTTTTCTTAGCCATACCACCCTGACCCTGTCTGATCTCATCTAAAATGCTTTGTCTTTTACCATTGAATTCTTCCACTTCCAGCTCCGGAGCTACCAGGTAATACTGTTCACAAAGCAGCTTGGCTGTTTCATATGCATCTGCAAGAAAGAAAAATTTAATTGTTGCCTTAATGACACAGATATAAGCACATGGGTGTGTATACAGAAATAAAGTCAATCTGTCTAACTGACTTTAAAAGAATCAAATATTTTAAAGCTGCCATTTGGCTTCAACACATTACTATGACTAAAACATTTCTCTTTCCTAAGTTTTAAGGACCATAGCCTTATCAAAATCATAGACTAGTAACAATAAAGCTAGTTTTATGCCAAGCACACAACCGTTTAACTTTTAAATACTGCGAAAAGATATTTTTCATGAAAATTTATAAACCTAGGACTATACTTCTGAACATCACAGAATCGGATTAAATTGTAGCAAAGCAATACTTTCTGTAATTTAAAAACCTGACAACAGTCAGACCTGGAGAGATCTGTGACCTGCTGCTGACCTGGCTCAGCGGTTTAGAGCACTTTTTGCTCTCATGGAGGGCTCTGGTTCAAATCCCAGCACCCATATGGTGGCTCAGAGCCATCCACAACTCAAGTTCTAGGGGATCTGATGCCCTCTATGGCCTCTGTAGGCACCAGGCATGTGTATGTTACACATACATACATACAATCATGGAGGCAAAACACTCATATACATAAATCTTAAAAAACGGCCAACAGCCAGAATTTTCCAGTTACTGGCAAGTGAAACATCAGTAAGAACTTACTGAGTGCACAGGTTTCCATGAAACATATAATTTCAATTATTAGAACCACCCACTGTCTTTAAAATGTCCTTTAAATTGGTTAAGGATAACAGCTTGGAGCTAATATAAAGTCTAAGGTGCAAGAGTTTGCTTTTCAAAATGGGCAAATAGACATAAGGGAAGAAAATCAATGACATTACAAAAATAGCTAGAAGACAGATTGTAGAAAGTTTAAAAGGTAAGGAATAAATTAAGAAAGTAAAAGTGCCTTATGGCATATTTATTAACTTATCTTGAACTGTAAACCATTTAAAAAAAACAACAACAAAAACCCAATCTGACTCCTTCAATAAACAGCATTCGGCATTAAAAAAAACAATCTGAGGAGAGGATTTGGGTCTTCACTTGCTTTATAATGTAACACAGAACTTAGGCTAGTGCCTGTTTAGATGACCAATTGCTATTTCTTGGCTCGGGATCATAACCCTTTTGATAACTCACTTTAAAAACTTTACAGACACCTGAGTCTCATACAATTTGTCATTTATAGCAAATATGCGACTCAGTAGTACTTAGTATGATCTGCCAAGTTTTGCACCCCTTATCACAATTAACATTTTTATCACTGTCAAAGAAGTCCCACGCTATTAGCAGTCATTCATCTCTGCCCAGCCCTTGGCAGCCACCTTTCTACTTCATCTGCTTTACCATTCTGGACATATGGAAATCAACTGAATCCTGTAATATGTGGTCTTTTGTGGTAACGTGATGGTTACTTCTGCCAACTTGACATAATCTAGGATCACCTGGAAAAGCAGTCTCAAGGAGGGACACTGGTCTATAGGCATGTCTTAGGGAGATTATTTTGATTACATTAACTGAGGTTGGAAGACCTGCCCAATGTGAGTAGCACCATTCCATACGGTCATCTATGTTGTAACATGAACCAGTAGTCCATTGCATATATTTAAACTTCATGGTATAAAAATATTTTAAGTAATAGCCATTGTACAACTATACCACATTTTCTTCATCCATTTATCAGATGACAGACACTTGAGTTGTTTACACTTTTGTTATTATGAATACTGCTATGAATATTTATGTCTATGCTTTTGTGTGAACATGCCTTTTGTTTCTCATGACCCTAGGAACGGGAAAGTGATGAACTATATGGTAACTCTAATAAACACTTGAGAACTGCCAGACTATCAGAACAAGACTTGAGTTTTTCCTTTACAATTTCCAAAAATCAGATGGGTGCACTCACACTGTTCTCAGTACCATACCAACTACTTGGAGACAATCAACACTGTGCTTAGACAATATACTTGCTTAAGATTTAAGAGATGAAAGAAGGAAGAAAGAAAAGGAAGGGAGAGAAAGACACTCTAGAGAACTTAAATGTTAAAATCTGACATTACCATCTTAAAATAATACAAAGGTAAGAACGAGGTATGTTCAGACTATAAGTACCTTGTGTTGCTACCAAATTAGAATTGTATATTCTGATTATCTAATATTACTTGTCCCCACATTAAAAATTCACATCTTATTAAACTTTCAGAATTAAGCATCAAAACAGAGACATCAGACAAATCATGACAAGATACAATAAAAACAGAAAACAAAAAGGCTATTAGCAGTAAAAACAGAAAATAATTTTTAAAGAATTAGAAGTGTGAAAATAGACATTAAAGTAGGGTTGAATTTTCACCCTGAAAAAAAAAGTTAGAATTTTAAACTACACCAAATTTGCAAATTTTTCCCTAGAACATAACAAATCTCATCAATTATATATAAAATTTCTGTCGAGAGAGAGAGAGAGAGAGAGAGAGAGAGAGAGAGAGAGAGAGAGAGAGAGAGAGAGAGAGAGAGAGAGAGGGGGCGGGGGGGGAGGACAGGAGGGAGAGAGAGAAATCAGGAACCAGCTCTTTTGCTCTGGCTAGTCTACTAAACAATGCTACATCTCCACCTAGTGACGTGATAGCACAAAAGCTGACCATGAACTTTTAAGACCCCAAATGCTGAAATTTACAATGTTTCACTATCTATATACAAAGTCAATATACCTCAACTCCTCCAGGTATATAATAATTTTTAATATTGAACTTCCTTTCACTATAAAACCATGACAAATCCAAACCTACTAAATGTTCTAATTATCCATGGCATTTGGCATTACTATGAGTACAATAACACTGAAAACATGCTAGGCATATACAATGTGTGGAAGACAGTGGAGTCCAAATAAAAACAGCCAACTTCAAACTTAGTATGGCTCCTAAAATCACATGTGAATAAGAATATTTTAGTTTCATTATACACTGTAGTGGATCAATGTTACAATTAAGAATTACTTCATTATTCTTGAAAATCTTAAAACATTGCAATGTAGATTTTCACACACCATCCAGAGAATGCTGAGAGTATTACTAATAAAAATTTATACCATTATGGGTAAATTCTCATAGGATACTAAAGTGCTTTGGATAAAATACATACATAATAAACATCTGATTAAGGGCTGAGGGTGTAGCTCTGTAGGAGAGTGCTTGCCTAGTTTATGAAAGGCCTTGGGTTCAATCCCAAACACTACAAAAGCAAAAATAAAGCATTTGCTAAATAATAATCCTTTGGCCAATGATAAAGTTTCCACTATTCAAGCAATTACACTAACAAGTGTTCTTTTTAGTTAGATTGGACGTTAGAGTCCCAGAGTGGCAACCAAGGATTAGGAAATTTTAAAAGAGTATAGATTATTATTAATTCACCTTTTGGGTAGGGTCGAGTGTAAAGAGTTCAGATTATGAAATAAACCCCTGGAAATTCTGAGGCAGTACCTCTGTTTTGAGGCCTAGGGACAGACATTTAAAAAATATCAGCATAAGTAGGATAGGTGTGGTGGCACATGCCTTTAATCCCAGCACTCAGGGTTAAAAAGCAGAAGCAGGTGGATCTCTGAGTTTGAGGCCATCCTGGTCTACATGGAGAGTTCCAGGCTAGCCAAGTGATTTTGGAGAGAATCTAGATTAAGTGACCACTTGCTTGAAAAGTCAAGGCTATGTTACCTATTTCTGCACTCTCATGACATAAGCGATCATGTGGCTACTGGGTGTTTGGGAGCACTAAAACGACATTCTTTGCTTAAGTAAACTTAATTTAACATAAAAATTAAAACCGTTTTAAAAATCCCAACAACCAAAATTCAGCCACTGGTATGGAAATTTCCTTTATACCTAGAGTTTTTGTAAGCTCTCCTTACATTAAATTCTCTAAATAAAAATTTACTATTTTAAAATTAGAAATCAAATTGTTTTAAGAAGACATTGCCAAACTATTTTTACCTGTACTATATTGCAGCCAGAATATACTACTAATCTTGAAAAGGGGACATGGGAAATTATTATTATTGCCAATAAATGTAAGTGATAGTCACTGCGCTAAGAACGTTTGCAATGGTAATAGAGTACTTCCGGCAGATCCATCTTTAGCCATGAATCAGTTTTCAGAAACAATACATAGGAAATTCTAACAGATCATGGAGCTTATTTGATTATAAGTCTCTACTCCAAAGCTTCCATATAACTCTTCCATCAACTATCAGATTTTATACTTAATCCACTGTATCACTCATTTACAACATAAGGAGCTAGAATTTGAGTACTGAAATTTTTTAAATGAACACGTCATACACAATAACTTTAATTCTAACAGAAAAAAGAAAAATCTTATAAACTCAAGTTTAAAATTCCTGTCAGAACAAAGTACACATAAATAGCCATGAAATACTGCAAAGCCACAAGACCATTTTTATTTGTCTTTTATGTGTGTTTGTCTATGTGTATATGTGCATGCTCCTGTGTGAGAATGTAAGCACACACGTGACTCAGCACACAGGAAAGTGTGAAGACAATCTCAAGGTCAGCCCTTGCCTTCTAGCTGGTTTGAGACAGGTTTTATGTAGGTCTTCATACTTGTGTGGAAAGCACTTTTACCCACTGAGCAATCTCATTAGCTTTGCTTACTTATTATTTTGTTTCACTTGATGTGACTAGGTGTTTTGTATGGATGTCTTCTACACTGTGTGTGTACAGTGGCCAGCGAGGCCAGAAGAGGGCATCAGATTCCCCTGGAACTGGAGCTACAGACAATTGCTAGCTACCATGTGGGTGCTGGGAATTGAACCCAGGTCCTCTGGAAGAGTAGTCAGTGCCTTAAACTGCTGAGCCGAGCCATCTCCCCCAGTCAAGATTCTTTTATTTTTAATGAAAACGACACCACACCATTATTTTCATGTGGTAATAACATAAGGTTAATCAAAGCAACACAAGCAGGTGT